AACCCAAACTTACACAGCCTGAGCGCAGGAAATACTGGATGTCATTACTCGCTCTGCGATACTGATCTGGGGTCAGATCGAAGCTACTCCTCCATAAAGATTAAGGTTAAGATTTAGGAGGTGGTAAGCTGATTTCAGATCCTGGCCTAAGGGTGTCTTCCGCCCTTTTGCATGGTGATATTTATGCATGAGACAGGGGAGGAGGAAGAGAGCGCTGGTTGCAGCAAACTTCACTGAGCCACTGTCTGCCTCTCTGTCTCAGTGGTATGCTGTGAGATTACCCCCCTATGGAGGGGGAAGAAATCCTGCGCCAAGAAGATAAGAACTTTGTGCATGTGTGTGTGCTCGGGCAAACTCTCACACACACGAGTCACGCACATTTCTGTGCAGCCCTCCGTGGAAACACCAATCTCAACATGCTTGTATATATGAATCTTTAACTGTATCTTAACAGAGGCTGCAGACATGTATGATCACTACAGGTTTTTGCAGGAACATGCACTGGATATTCTCACTATAGCCGACTTCATCGGGAAGGGAGAAATAAAGACAGAGGAAGAACACAAATCTCATAAGTTGATTCTTATATTGCACAATATGCTTTGTCTGAACCGCGTCTGTTTAATCTCGGATGCCAGACTCATTATTCTTTAATTAGCGCTGATACGCGGAGAACCAAAGGGCCACCGATCAATTCGACCTCTGAGAAACAATGCTGGAGCAGAGCGAATGCACGGCCAGCCCCTGCTGCATTCATCATACATTTATTCACTACCTCATGCGATAATTTTGGGCGGATATCAGACTGACTCAAGAAAAATCTGTAACAGATTCATCTGAATAAATATTAGTTTTGGTGCAGTTTGTCCCTGGAAGATGACTGAGCTGATAGCAGTTTAATTAAGCTTTCCAGCTGCAGGTCTCGACACCTGGAATGGCTTCAGTCACTGAGTTCTACATTTGCAAGTAAAATCCATCCAAGCTCCACTTAAAGTGAACATGTTTTAGAAAGTAAAACCTTAAATAATGTTTAAATTGGTGGCTTTATAGCATCTTCTAGTCAGATTATCTAATGGGTCCATTTATTTATTAAATTTACCGAACAATGATCCAAATCAATGCAGCTGTTGCTCTAAAAATGTGCCTCAGCAACATTCATTCAGCTTAAAGTGGGAAATACGCAACGAAGATAACCTATCTCACACTATTCAGTCTATCTGCTTCATTATTAACCTCACATTTATTAACAACATACACCATGTATATGTAGAATCATTTATAATTCTATAGAACTATAAATGATTCTATATAATTATTTATAGTTCTATAGAATTCTAAATAATTCTATAGAATCTTTTAAAATTCTATAGAATTTTTTAAAGTTCTGTAGGATTATAAATACTTCTCTAGAATTATTTATAATTCTATAGAACTTTTTAGTGTTATTGGGGCTTTATTTGTTGTTGCTATGGCACCGTGACAGCAGCAGCCCGTAGCAGCGGCTCATATCTACTTCCTGTGTTTTTAGCTATTTCCTTTGGTCTGTCTTCGATCTTTTTAATATTTTTATTTCACACAGCTGTACCTCATTTGTGTGGGAACAGTGGAGATGCAGACGATGTTTTTGTTTGTCTGTTCCTTGCTTTTTGGAGTTTTTGGGGGTTGTTGAGCCATGGCTCTATTGTTTTACACTGTGAACAGCTGTTAGCGCTGAGCCGGGCCGAGCCACCTTCGTGGGAGAGACCGGACATCCCCGATGAGCTGGAGGAAGAGGGGATGCAGGGCAGGAGTGAAGCCTAGGGAGAAGAGGAGACGCTACAAGCCGTCCGTCCATCATCATGGAAACGGGAAGTCTCTCCCTAACGGATGGAGGAGCTAACAGCTAACGGCTAACAGCTAACAGCGCTGAGCGGATGAAGGAGCTAACAGCTAACGGCTAACAGCTAACGGCTAACAGCGCTGAGCGGATGAGAGGAGCGGATGGAGGAGCTAACGGCTAACAGCTAACGGCTAACAGCTAACAGCGCTGAGCGGCTGCAGTGGGAGTATCGGGAGAGCAGCCTCATGTTGTTCACAGAGTCACGGCTGAACGAACTCACTCCGGACTCGCTGGTAACTTTGGACGGATTTCACCTGGTCAGAGCGGACCGGAGCTGGAGGGACAGTGGTGAGAAGAAAGGCTGGGGACTCGCCATGTATGTGAATGAGAGATGGTGTAATGCTAGCTAGCACGTTAGCATTAAAGAGCAGCGCTGCACGCAGGATGCTGGACTGCTGGCGGTTGTAAACTCATCCATAGTTCAGAGTCCCAGCTGCAAACATCACAGCCTCAGTCTCTGATCTTCATCTCAGGAGGCTTTAACCAGACATCTCTCTCTACCACTCTGGACCTGCTGTGTGCGGACACCAGGATGCATATCACTGAATTATTGTTATTTTCTTGTACTTTCTATATTTGTGGATGCTGCTGTGGTGTGTACATTTCCAAGGTCTGGGATAAATAAAGTATATTCTATTCTAAAAATGGTCTTGCGTGGTGAAACCTATTCACCTGTTTTAGTTTATTGATGGAAAACAATTCTGTTGAACGGTGTGGTATCAAAACCTGAAACTCACAGCTCAGGTTTTGTGAGGCTGAAACAGGGCAGCTCTGGTGTTGTGGGCACAGTCAGAGTCTGGTTCTCTCTGCAGTCCTTTTCCAGGCAGATAGCCGTCCTCCCTGAGCCTGATTCTGGTGGAAGCTTTTTTTTTTTTTCAAGGAACTATTTTCTTCCTGCTGCAACCAAAGTGTAGCTCAAGGGAATTCTTGGATTTGTTGGGTCTCTGTCTATATGATATACAGATTGTAAGGGCTTGACTTTGCTGTTTGAGAAGACTTCTGTGGCGCTACAGAAATTAAACTGAACTACAGCTTTGGAAGTGGGACTAGAAATTCTGACGTCACCTTTTTGTGCATCCGCTGCGACTCCTTAACAATCTGCAGTGCAGCCACACGTCAGAAATAAGTCCTAAATTGGCACATTTTATTCTGTTAGTGGCTTTTGCAGCTGCCGTCTCATCTTGTGTGCTGAAAATCATGTCACACATCGTGTTTTTTGTAGAGAGAATAAAATACTGTTGCTGAGTGTCAGACTGAATAACAAAACCAAACGACACTGTAGATGGAAATTTTTTACCAAAATAGAAAAAGATCAGTCCAAACACCGGGAACATGCATGTTGTTCTATTTTCACTCTTTGAACGTGTCTCCAGACTTGAGAACTTTCTCCCCCTGCTTGCGTGAGAGGAGGATCTCTCCTCGTTTGACAGAAGTTGCACCTGGGTGTCTCACCTCCTCTCAGACTTTGTCAGTCTCTCACGCGATCAACATGGTCGGCCTCCATAAGCTTAGTCTCAACTAATGTCTTTAACACCGTCGTTAAGAGGGCAGCTTTGACTCTAAGCTGGCTTGACAAGTGCGAAGGCCTTTGCACTTGTGACAACTGACGAGCAACAACAGGACACGGGAGCAGACAAATCCCTGTTCTGAGGGACTTGAGGTTTGGTTTCAGTGGGGAAAGAAGGCAGCAGGTAAAAGGCTGTATATCTGTAGACGGATGATTTAAAAACATATGACGATGAAATATTGATTGTTGGACATGAACTGAGTCAACGTGTAGGCTGATACAAACATCTATGCAATTATCTGCTCCCGATCCACCAAGGACCTGCGGTCTTCTTCCGCTGTGTGGGGGACTGACGGATATACGAGTGTCATGCCACAGCGCTTGATCAAATTGACTTGAGTTCCACTGGAGGATTGAGCTGATTTGTTTCAGGCTGAGCTTTGTGATGCTGTAATACAGACTCTGACTTTGGTGACAATGGAGAAGAAACGTGGCCTTCTGAGATTAAAACGACTTCTGCGTGACTTGCTTAACAAAGCACTAAATCACAGAGGAGACAGAAACAAGACAGTGACATAAAAACATCTGGAAAATCTGGCAGGCAGAGGTAGACAGTGTAAATGATTTTACTGCATTTCAGAGACACAGACCCAGTGAAGGCTGTGATTCACAACTTATCACTTCTTGAAGCTTCATAGCAGACATGCTGATGCGGTACGAGCCAGCTCACAGCCCGTCTGGCCATCCCTTCAATTTAACAGGGACCGTGCTTTAGAACCTGGTTTTTATAGGCTTGTTTTCATGTGATGTAATCTTTTTTTATTTATTGCTTTTTAAGGTTTTTACTTTATTTCTATTCATTATTATTGACATATTGCGTTTGTTTTACCTTTATCTTAATTAGTGGTACATTGCCTTCTGGGCATCCTGCTTTTGTTTTGTCTGCCAAAGCACTTTGTAAACCCTTGTTTTAAAACGCGCCGTATAAATACACTTATTAAAATTATTTCTGTCTTCTTTTGTGAAGCAGTGTAAGATTTTTGCAGGCTTAGTTGGCACTGAAACTGCTCCTGTCCTGTCTGCTTGCTACCTTGAGCAACGTGTCCGCTGATGCCCAAAGAGTGCACACATGCAGGCAGGTACCCACTAGACAGGCAGGTAGGTCATCCAATCATTTAACGTGGACCAAAGCCAATGATTGGATTGGCTTTTTACAGGTTTTTTTAATTCTTTTTTTTTTTATTATCAGAGCACTTGATTTATTGATTGCTGTCAGGATGTGAAGAGACTTCCAATAAAAAGAACAAAAATTGCTCCTGGAGTACTGTGCATACTCTGGCTTTACAGCTAATCAGTCACGTCGTGTCCAGCACCTGATCTACATAACAATCAGATCAATGCCGGCGCCGATACCAATCCAGCTAGCAGACCGGTGAATTGCACAAGTTTGTCGTAGGTTTATGCTCCAAGGGACGGCCGTCACATCAGATCCTGTTTCTGACATTTCAAAGCCTGCAGTGAGATTAAGCTCAAAGTTTTACCGGCAGGATGTTCCGACGTAAGATGTGAGCAAATGCAGATAAAGAGAACAGTCGTGCACGTTGTTGACTTTACCTTTTTCTTTTTCTCGAAGGTCACTGAGGTATTTTAGAAGCTCAGCATTGGCCTGGACGCAGTAAACCTCCCGGGTCTGCAGACCTCCTCCGCAGAGCCCCGTCAGGTTGTAACGCCGACGGTCCTGTTGGCTCAGCAACAAGTCAACCCGGCAGTCGCTCCACTCGGTGGTTCTCCAGGTGTAGCTAAAAGGTGAGCAGCGGGAGAGCATGGGCAAGAGTCAGAGAGACCTAACGTCGCTGAACACATGTCAGGTGGCATCCAATGTTCGTTTATAACTCTGTTTGAATCATCATCCCAGTCTGGAGGACACAGGTCACCCATTATTTACGACAGCTAACGGTAAAATAAAATGACTGGACATGTATTTACCCTTATATGCTCTTATCAAGAGTGCGGCCGTTCAATTTCAGACCATAACTTCTTCATTTTACATTTAAATTTTGTCAGAGAGCTTCTACACGTATAAATGATGAATAAATGCATCATGTGACCCGTCTGTAAGTGTTCTTATGCCCCAGTGATCGACGTGTAAAGATGTTCTAAGATGAAACTGAGCCATCTGCTAACCTGCATTTCTATCTTTGCATGTGCATTTCTGGAATTCAAATATCTTCCCGGTTTCGATCCATTTGTCTTTACTTTGTGTCTGGCACCAGCCCAAGCACTTATACTAATCTACCTCCGTATGCTATCTCTCTCACACACGTGGGCCGACCCAGAAGAGCAAATTAGCTCGGTGATGTGTCTGAAGGGAAGTCAAAAGGCAGCATGTGCAGCCTCAGCCAGGCTGAACACGAAGCACTTTGATTTCACTTTATTTGTGAGCCTGAAATACAGACCGAATCCCTGCAGTGTTTCATAGCCGGTTCTTAACAATACTGTAACCAGGGAGGAGGGTATTATCACGACATAACATGCAATTTGTATCCTGTGAAAAACTCTGCTAAGCTATGAAACCCACATCTACGCTCACAGTGAAATTCAAAAAAACTCTGCTCACTCCCCGCTGAGCTCCCTGCCTCCCTCCCTGCCTCCCTCCCTGCCTCCCTCCCTGCCATCAGGAGGAACTCACGTGGCGCAGGGCGGCACGCCGTCACCCTGAGGTTCACACGACTCCGACTCCTCCAGCGGCGGGCAGTCCGCCCCCTCGCCCACAGGGAACTGCAGCACCTGTCTGCTTCGAGTGCGATTTCCTCTGGGCGACTCGGGGTCCAAGCAGGTTTTGGAGCAGGGGCTCCAGTCGGCCCAGTCGGTGATCTGGCAGGCTTTGGGAAGGACACAGGACTGGACGGTGAGCGGCAGGTCCCTCATTGTGCACAGGCTGGAAAGGATAAAGACGGAAGGTGCAGGAGGGATGAAGGAGTCATATAGAGTTTATATAGAATCAGATAAACAATAATGTGACTCCATGTAGGATTTTATGGTGAGAAAAAATTGTCTTTTTTTAAAAAAAACTTGGAACTGAGTGATTAAAGAAAAATATCTAATTATGAGTTTTCTGACTTGTTTCAGTGAAGTATTTGCTGAGTGAACAGAAATTAAACATGATAGAGTTTCTCACGTGAACACTATCAACAGCAAGACCACCAAGAGGAAAAGCTAGACTTAGTAAAACCGCTGACACAGCTGGGCCAAACATACTGCGTATATTTCAAATGAAAGCCTTTGCATTTTGCTAGTTGTGTTGTTTCACTGTGATTTCAGTTTGAGGTCTGTTGACTGTTCAGACCCACTTGGAGCTGAGACAGAGCTGCTCCAGGGGAACACACCACACTCCACCTGGACACAGACCAGCACACAACCCCCCATAACAAACACAACTTCCCACTTTCACATCGTGGTATGTTTGCAGATTGAACACACAAGATATAATATGTCGATTGGTGAGCGTTGAAGGTGTTGCTGGCCGTAGTATTATCTCTTCAAACAAAGCCAGGGACTTACTGTCTTTTTATGTGCCGCTAAGCTAATTAGCTGCTGGCTGCAGCGCCCTATTTAACAAACACACCAATCAGCCACAACAGTAAAACCACCTGCCAAATACTGAGCAGGTTCCCATGGGGCACGGACATGGAACCGCTGGAGGTGTGATGTTGTGTTTGGCAGCGGGACATTGGCAGCAGATCTTTTGGGTCCTCTGTGGATCGTGCTTCTTCTGGTGCATCCTGCAGATGCTCGACCGGATTGGTATCGGGCTCATTGTCGTGTTCTTAGAGCTGTTTTTGCAGCGTGGCGAGGTGCACTGTCCTACTGGGAGAAACTGCTGGCGCCGTGAGGTGGAGCGTGGAGCAGGGTGTTTGGTCTGTTTAGGTGGGTGGTAGTAACCTCCACATGAATACCAAAGTTTCCCAGAAAAACACTGCATTATAATGAGACAGCCAATGTCATTCACTTTACCTGCTGCTGGTCTTAATGTTATGGCTGATTGGTGTCGATATGATGCTTGTGTCAATCGTGGCCTCTTGGTAAGAAAGCCAATACGTGTATTTTCCAGGATTTCAAACATCCATCATCTATACACCGCTTAATCCTCACTAGGGTCATGGGGGGCTGGAGTCTATCCCAGCTGACTCAGGGTGAAGGCAGGTTCACCTGGACAGGTAACCAGTCTATCACAGGGCTACACTTAGAGACAGACAACCAAGCACACTCACATTCACACCTACGGACAATTTACAATCACCAATTAACCTCAGCATGTTTCTGGACTGTGGGAGGAAGCCGGAGAACCCGGAGAGAACCCACGCTGCACGGGGAGAACATGGAGGGTGTCCTCATCATTGGGATGTGAACCGGCGACCTTCTAGCTGCGAGGCGACGGTGCTAACCACTGACCCACCTTGCAGCCCTCATACAAAACAGAGAAAAGCAAACAACCCCTAACATCATAGGAGCCGATACGAGGAAATGTCTGGCATTTTTTTCCTCAATAAACAACTAAGCTGTCTACAGATTGACTGATTGATCCATATTTATTTTACTACGACACTTCTTCACGAGTGCTGCAGTGTGCGACTTAGCGACGCCTCATTACAGTGAATCTTAAGTTCCCTCTGACTGCCATGTTAATGCCAAGACGTCTGATGGCTTTAAGGTTTTTGCATCAACAGAACAACAGATATGTGACACTAGATGTGATGTACAAAGCTCCGAACTCTCTGCCCTTGACTGACAGTCACCAGCCCTTCTCATTTACATACACTCTGCATAAGCAATTTCACATTAAGAGGAGTGGCTTGGCATGCTGTGTGTGTGTGTGTGTGTGTCAATAAGTCTTAAGTGCTAAGACAACCAAAACAACCTCTGATCCATCATTCACACACATCTTTTGATCATCTAAACAGCATTTAGATGTAATGAATAACCCGTCCTCGATGGGTCCCTTCCAGATCATTAGAAATTTGTTCTAACTAAAGCCGACTGCTTTCTGCTACTCAGTCTGGATGTCTCTCCCCTTGAGGCGATGCAGCTGACGAGCTATTAGTGCTAATTACAGCTCTGCTTCATTTAGAAACCTCTCATTTAGACGTTGCCACCACACTTCACCTCCAGCAAGTCAGACTTTGGGTATAAATCAGGAAATGCATGAGCTGAGTATGAGCTGCATTTTTTTTTTCTTCTAACTCCAGTGTCTTTGCAGATTAAAACACCTCTGCAGTCTTTGAAGTGGTTCTGAAACGACACTGTCAAAAAATCGTAGTTTTGTTTTTCTGCCAAACGCGCCCGGTACGCCGGCTCGTTTTGCTCCGGAGGAAAACAATGAGGAAATTTAAACAGCGAATGTGACGCACTGAGGGCGATGGCTCGATTTCCTGTCTCCGATGGAACTTCTTGTGTTTTAAAAAGCCCCTAATGCAGCCAATGACCCATTTTCTCTGCAAGCGGATCCTTTGAGTCTTCGCCGTTTGTTGTGTGCATGCCCGAGCATTTTTTTTTTTTTTTTTGTGGAGATTTCAAAGTTGCAAAGAGAAGTCATTATTTCTTCATCTCAGTCATTCAGACAGAATGAGGACACAATCATTCTGTATTTAAATAAGTAAGATGATGTCTGAAAAACGCTCATTTTTAAGCCTGTAGGTTTTACAGTTATTTGCAACAATGGACGCCACGACGCGGGCAGCGAGGAAGTCTCAACGTCGCTGCACTTGTGTACTCATTACTTGAACTGCATTCATCAAAACAGCCTCTGAAACGGTCTAAAAACACGATTCTATGTGGGTCAAGTGATTAATGAATCCTTTTCACAACTTTGGAGCCTCAGAGAAGCAGCAGAGGCAAAAAAAAGATAAGACGCTAAATTAGCTCACTGTGTGCAAATCTCAGCATTACGCCGTGATGTAATGTGATATATCGTAACACTGGCACAGCAGAAAAAAAATGTCATGATGCAAACCTGACGAACGAGACAGAAGTTCGGAGGAAGTGGCCTGTTTGGGGGCGAGCTGAGGACTACGGAGGAAGAAGCAGCCCACTGACAGATGTTCATCAAACAAAATTAGAAATGAAGTGAGCAAGATGTTGGCGGAGCGGCTGGCGAGGATATGACTGGCTTTCTGCTTCACTGGGAAGTTTGTTCCACTTTTCCGAAAGTGGCAAAAACAACCATGAATATTTTAGACCAAGAAATAAACAAGTCAAGGATTAATATTTATGCTCCTAAGGGCATGTGAGTTGTTTTCACGGTTCCTTTGAAATATTTGATCCCAGTCACTGCTGAGAGCTCGGCGCAAACAAAGCATTAATGAATAGATTTAGTACATAATTGATCAAATCTTAGAGTACAAGTGGCGTGTGACAGAAATGCGACGTGAACGGAGGCTTGCTCGACTGACACCGGCACTGATTCTTTCCAGGAGATCAGAGACCTCGTGAAAGCCCCACATTCGAGTTTCTAGGGAACAGCGATGGCATTTCAAGTTAGCGTCAGTCGAGGAACACAGAACAAGATGATGGCTCCACAGGCGCCGCTCTTTAGAAGAATCGCTGATTACCTTACAGTTATGCAATGAAGCCGTCAGAGGTTTATCAGGAGAAACATCGCAAATGAAGAGAGAACCGTCAGTAGCTGCTTGATGTTTCACCAGTTACATCGTTGTGATCTACAACTGTGATTAACTCAGCTGTCTGAAAAGCGGACTTACATGGACTTGGAAGATTTTTGCGAACAGTCCATTTAAAATTGTAGCAGAGAGCAAATGTGTCACATGCAAGGTGTGATCAAATAGTTTGGTCTGTTCCTGTCGAGCCGTCATGCAACAGGTGTGAGCAGTAACTCCACGTCATGTCCTGGGTTACGCTCGCTTCTGTCACCACGAACGGGTGCATTTGAGGTTCCACTGTGGTTCTGCAACAGCAGCGACGTGTCAGAGTTTTCAAGGATCTCACATGACCCAACTTCATGTCGAGGGTCTGATCCAGAG